TAGATTCGTAGTGCGTGTATGTGTTCATATTTATGTTAAAAGATTAAATAATTTACGAAATAAATAAAAAATTTAAAGAATCGATTTTATTTTAAATTTGTACAAACGTTATATTTAATTTCTTAATACCGATATCGATATAAGGTAATTAATTGTTACGTACAATCTGCGCAGATTAATAAATTTTAAAAATTTTCTTTAACGCCATAGTTTTTAATTACTTTTTTGCGCAGATCCGTATTAAGAAAATTTTCTCGTTGATAAGTTACAAAATTGATATTAGATAATGCTTAGTTGTTGCATAGTTGCTGAGGTTTGTTAAATTTTAATACATTAATAATATCAAACTTGTAATTTATATTTAAAATACATTGCACTTTATATATGTAATTAATATTTCAGAGCTCGCACGTCACATCAAAAATTGTTAGTGAATCATAAAATAATATTTTAGGATGTTTTCCCAAGCAAAAGCCAATTTACCTTGCGTTTTGTTTATTAATCAAGTAAATACTTTATAATTATTGTTTATATTCGATGTAATATATATGATTAAATCGATATTTTGGCTTCAATTAGTAACATTTAACAATTCGGAAGATCGCATCATTACAAATTTCTTGACAGGTATTTACTTAGCTGTATACAGTACCCGATGTGACGGCAATTTTTTTTAAAAATGCTAGTTATACGTGTATCAAATATCATGCATCATACGCGTGATTTTAATTTTTTATATCGATATGTATAAATTACATCACACCAAGTACTACTCAATATGTTTATTCTTATTTGAATTTTTTTTAGAAATGGGATGGTATTTTATATCAAAAAAAAGTAGGGAGGGGCCTGAGGTTGATATTTACTGTAAGTCATTGCTGTAAGATTTTAAGCCAAGCAATCAGTAACACTTCATTTAATCACAAATAAATTTTGTACGTATAATGGTTTGTTAAATTTTAGCAATAATAAACCTGAAATCATAGATTAAGCACTTTTAAAACCTGGCGGACCGGCGCCAAATTTTGAGGTTTATATTTTTTGTTATATATACATACAATCTTAATAATTGTAGCCATACAGTATTGTTTTTTATATTAAAAGGCAAGTTACGAAAAATGCTAACAACATACGTAATATATCTTATTTAGTTCAATTCTCGGTTTAAAATTAAGGTGTCGATTTAGATATTTTATGTAAAAAAGCAGTATCAGAAAAAATATTTATAACGAAAGAGTAAACTCAATAATTTCAATCACATTATATATTTTATAATAGATTACTTATAATCATTTTATTCAAGCAAAATCTGTATGCAAAGCTTTCTTATAAATAATGTTTATTACTAAAGTTTATATAATGCTATAAACAAAAATTAATTGATGAATAGTAATTTATTTCTTCAAAAATATAATTTAGTTTGGATAATTCTACACCGCTAACCTTAGATACATTGAAATAACAATACAACTAATGTAAATTATCGAAAACTTGCAACAAAAAAAATAATTTATTTCAATACAAAATTGTAAAAACTATTTTATTATTATTACTATTGTGTACGACGTATAAATAATAGAATTTTATTCTTATTTTATTGAATTTTATTCTTATTTTATTTAACGTTTAGAAAATTTACTAAACAAATTCCCATATTTTAACAAACTTATTTAAACCGATATTTAATATAAATAATTATATGTAACCCAAAAGCCGATAATCTATTAAAAAAAAAAAAACGTTAGTAAATATTAAAATACAATAGTCAAATATTACATTGCTTATTACGAAAAATTCCAAGTCCCGACTAGACACTATCAAAAAGCCAGTAACAGCGCTAACACTTGCCAAAGGGCCAGTAACTGGTTCTACTCACTTGCAAAGGGCCAGTAAAAACTCGAAAGCCTACTTTGACACCCTTATTCAAGCCAGCATAAACCTATACATGGGCGCCTAGATTTTTTGGCAAATTGCTGGTCATCCAAGCTCCTGTAGGTTTCTCATGTTGATAAGTTTCTCGTGTCCAGGCGAATTGAATGTTGCAGTCTTTTATTTGGGCGATTATCTGGTGATCTTAGTTTTTATTAACGAACTTTATGGTTGCTGAAATTATCCAAGTTTTTTTCAAATTCCGTATGTCGTATGTTCGAATAAATAACTTCTTGAAACACCCATGTACAAATAAAGCTGCTAATAGCGTAACTTCGACACCCTTATCAAGCTGTAGTACTAATAGCCGACTAGACACTTTCTGAAGCCAGTACAGACGAACAAAGAAAATTTTCGTAATAAGCCAAGATTGTTTACTTTAAATAAAACATACCAGTACAAAGTGATAAATCACAAATGCCCCGATATATATCTATTAAGAAAGAAAAGTGCATAACTGATCCCTCTTCTGGAACCAGCGGACCTTAATAGACGTTTTAAATTAAAGTAAACAACCTTCTGTTCCCAAAGTCGTTTACAAACATAATACTGACCTTTGTTGATGCGTTCAAAGATTACTTTAAATAAAAAACTTTTACAAAAAAAAAGGTTTTGTAAAAAAAAGTATATTTCTTATTATTATTTGTAAAAAGAAAAAAAAAAGTAGTAACTATTATTTATAAAAAGAAAAAAAAAATATAGTCTTAAAAATTAACGTAAAGAAGGTAGAAAAAAAACGCGAAATAGAATTTGAATTTATATATTTGAGGGTTTGTTTATGCAGAAAAGCCAAAACAAACACTAACCAATCAGCGCATGCTTTCACGAGGCAAGACACGTGCACGATTTCGTGAAGCACGTGCATGTGATACTCGAAAAAGGGATTTACTTATTTATGCCTGTAACACAAACCAAAAAAGGAAATCATAACAACTTAACGTTAATATATGTAGTTAAAGATTTAAGGTTAGTGGTTAGTGTAAGCGGCAAAGACTAAAGTTGTTTATATATGCAAAATTTCATTTCCTACATTTTTACTTAATACATCGAAGGTCAATTTAGTCTTTATTTTCGCGTTTTATTTTTTTTACTATATCTTTGAATCTGCCGATCTATTCTATATAAGGTTTTGTTTAGTGATTTGAACCGAGAAAAAATTCCTTAATCGGTTAACCGAACCGAATTATTTCATTCAACCAATTGCCAACCG